TTGATGTTAGAAGATTTTGAGAAGGAAATACAAGTTCATCGTGTTACAATTGGTAAAGGAAAAAAGATTGTGGCATACATTTATTCAAGAACCAATCTTATTCATCGTTAATGGGATCGTAGGATCGTATTTGGATCGCGATCCTATACGATCCTACTTTTGGCCCTTTTCTGATGCTTTTATTACAGGTTTGATGTACCTTCTCTCTCTTCTAAACACTTACGACATAAGATTAGGGCAAAATATTGGGGGAAAATTGCTGAGCAGCCTCCATCCCGATTCCAGCTCTCCAGGTATGCTTCGTCTGCTTCGTCTTTTCTTCTTCTTCTTCTTCTTCTTCTTCTTCTTCTTCTTCTTCTTCTTCTTCTTCTTCTTCTTCTTCTTCTTCTTCTTCTTCTTCTTCTTCTTCTTCTTCTTCTTCTTCTTCTTCTTCTTCTTCTTCTTCTTCTTCTTCTTCTTCTTCTTCTTCTTCTTCTTCTTCTTCTTCTTCTTCTTCTTCTTCTTCTTCTTCTTCTTCTTCTTCTTCTTCTTCTTCTTCTTCTTCTTCTTCTTCTTCTTCTTCTTCTTCTTCTTCTTCTTCTTCTTCTTCTTCTTCTTCTTCTTCTTCTTCTTCTTCTTCTTCTTCTTCTTCTTCTTCTTCTTCTTCTTCTTCTTCTTCTTCTTCTTCTTCTTCTTCTTCTTCTTCTTCTTCTTCTTCTTCTTCTTCTTCTTCTTCTTCTTCTTCTTCTTCTTCTTCTTCTTCTTCTTCTTCTTCTTCTTCTTCTTCTTCTTCTTCTTCTTCTTCTTCTTCTTCTTCTTCTTCTTCTTCTTCTTCTTCTTCTTCTTCTTCTTCTTCTTCTTCTTCTTCTTCTTCTTCTTCTTCTTCTTCTTCTTCTTCTTCTTCTTCTTCTTCTTCTTCTTCTTCTTCTTCTTCTTCTTCTTCTTCTTCTTCTTCTTCTTCTTCTTCTTCTTCTTCTTCTTCTTCTTCTTCTTCTTCTTCTTCTTCTTCTTCTTCTTCTTCTTCTTCTTCTTCTTCTTCTTCTTCTTCTTCTTCTTCTTCTTCTTCTTCTTCTTCTTCTTCTTCTTCTTCTTCTTCTTCTTCTTCTTCTTCTTCTTCTTCTTCTTCTTCTTCTTCTTCTTCTTCTTCTTCTTCTTCTTCTTCTTCTTCTTCTTCTTCTTCTTCTTCTTCTTCTTCTTTCTGCTTCGTCTTCTCTTCTTCTTCTTCTTCTTCTTCTTCTTCTTCTCTGTTCGACTCATTCTTCTCTTCTTTTCTGTGCTTCGAGTCCTTCTCTTCTCCTCTATTCGACTCCTTCTTCTCCTCTGTTTGTCTTCTTCGACTCCTTTTCTTCTTCTCCTCCATCTTCTTTTTCCTCTGCTGTTGCCTTTTTTTTCCCTCTTCTTCCATTTTTCTGACTTTCATTCCCCTTTTTTTTCCCCCTTTTCCACTTCATCTTCCATTTTTCCCCTTCTTCCATTTTTCCATTTTCCTGTCAACCTAATTAAATTAATGTTTAACTTGTAATTTATTTTGCAGATAGCACTAAGGAAAAGTGCGCAGATACATACCAGTGTACCACCAAGGAAAAGTGCAGCTTCATTTTATACAGGTTTGTTCTCAATTAATTTGTAATTGTAATTTGTAACATGACTTTAGATTACCTAGTGTTCATGTTGGTAACAGTTGATTGATTCAATGTTTGTAATTTGTAATTTGTAAATTAACTTCTAAATTCTAATTTATCCTTATCTATAATTTCAATGAGGCCTTTGTAGGGCATCATGGTATTACTATTGTAATCAATTTATTTTTGAATGTAACTTGACTTTTTTCTCTCTGATATTTCACAACTATCAAATTGTAAATTGTAGTCAATTGATTCAGTGATATTCAATATATGATTGTAGGTTTGTCAATTGAGTTAACAATGTCTGCCTCTGGTTCTGGAAGAGGGAGGAAGAGGAAAAATGTTGCGGGTAACCGAACGGATCCTGGTTGGGAACATGGAATTGAAATAGATGCTGCAACCAAAAAGGTACAATGCAAGTATTGTAATGTGACTCGATCGGGAGGTATATATAGATTAAAACATCATTTAGCTTGTACTCATCAAAATGTTGAGCCATGTCCTCAAGTCCCAGAAGATGTTAGAGGAAAGTTCATGAGTCTTTTAAGAACTCAAACATTAGAGTCTCAAAATAAAAAGAGAAAGATGTTTGATGTTGGTGATGATTCTGAAGAGGAGGTGGAACTATTAGCATATCATCATCAAAACAAACAAAAACGGGTGGGTGCCATAGATAAATTTGTGATGAAGAAATCTGGACGTCAAAATCAAAAAACTCTCAATCAAATGTTTAAGAAAGAAGAGAGAGATGATGTTTGTCAAACCATAGCTCGTTTTTTTTACACTAGTGCAATTCCTTTTAATTGTGTGAACAACCCTATATTTCCACTCATGGTTAAGAAGATTGGGGATTATGGAAAAGGACTTGTGCCACCATCTTACCATGAAATTAGGGTGACATTTTTAAAAAAAGAAGTGCATGAGACACTACAATTGGTTGATGAGTTTAAGGAACAATGGAAGAAGACCGGATGTACAATTATGTCGGATGGATGGTCAGATAGAAAGAGAAGATCCATATGTAATTTTCTTGTGAATAACCCTAATGGAACTATTTTCTTGTCATCACTAGATACATCCGACATTTCAAAAACGTGAGGTTGTTGAGAAGGTTGGAGAAGAAAATGTTGTACAAGTTGTAACTGACAATGCTTCTAATTATAAATTGGCGGGACAAATGTTAATGGATAAAAGAAAGGGCTTGTTTTGGACTCCTTGTGCTGCACATTGCATAGATTTGATGTTAGAAGATTTTGAGAAGGAAATACAAGTTCATCGTGTTACAATTGGTAAAGGAAAAAAGATTGTGGCATACATTTATTCAAGAACCAATCTTATTCATTGGATGAAGGAGTTTACCAAAGGCATTGAACTTATAAGGCCTGAGGTAACTCGGTTTGCTACCTCTTACTTGACATTGAGACGTCTTCATGAGCAAAAAGGTGCATTGTTCTCTCTATTTACATCAAACAAGTGGAGGAATAGTAGATTTGCGAAGTCTGAAAAGGGGAAAAAAATTGAAAATATTGTTTTGGACAATCGATATTTTTGGAAGGGTGTTTCTACCTGCTTGAGGGCTGCAGTACCTCTCATTAAGGTACTTAGGTCGGTGGATTCGGATGAGCATCCGGCAATGGGATTCATTTATGAAGCAATGGATCGTGCGAAAGAGGAAATTCAAAAGAATTTCAATAATATCCTAAGATGGTAAACTTTTTATTTAGTGTTGGCTATTTATTTACTCTTTAATACTATTTCCATAAACTATTTATTTATTCATTAATAATATTTATTGAATTGTGTCAGCTATGATCCTGTATGGGCCATCATTGATAGAAGATGGGAAACCCAACTCCATCACCCATTGCATGCTGCAGCATACTTCTTGAACCCTCTGCTTCATTATAGTCCCAATTTTCAAGCTGATGCAGAGATTAAAATTGGGTTGTACAAATGTCTTGAAAAAATGGTCCCTGACACTAATGAGAGGGTGAAGATAGATTTGCAAATTGATGCATTCAAGAATGCAAGAGGACTCTTTGGTATACAAAATGCAATCTTGACTAGAAAAAAGAAATCTCCAGGTTATTTATTTTTACCCTAAGTTGATTTGTAAGTTATATCTATCAATCTTATGTTATGATTATTTGTTTTAAAGAACTTTAAATTTTGAACTACTTAATTAAAATTTCGATGTAGGGGATTGGTGGGACTCTTTTGGTGATGAATGTCCCGAGTTGAAGAGGTTTGCAATCAGGGTATTAAGTCTAACATGTAGTTCATCGGGGTGTGAGCGCAATTGGAGTGCTTTTGAGATGGTGCACTCAAAGCGGAGGAATCGTTTACACCAAAAGAGAATGAATGACTTGGTCTTTGTGATGTACAATTTGAAACTGAGACAAAGGCACAAGAATAGACAATCAATCATGAATCCATTATGTTTGGATGATGTTCCATCAGACGATGAGTGGATAACAGAGAAAGAGAATCCGACTCTTCCAAGAGAAGGAAATTGGTTGCATGTGCTTGATAGGAATGCTCGACATGGATGTCATTCAGAAGATGAAGAGGCAGATGCTCTTGCAAGGGATTTGGAACAAGCATGTAAGTCTAGGTACATGATACATCTTTTAGTTTTAATTAGAAGTTGCAATTTGGATTTAATTTGGATTTTTTTTTTTCTTCAACTTAGGCCGTGACCATATTGGAGAAAATGTCGATGAAATTCATGAAGTAAGTGATGATGATGATATGGATGACAACATGAATGCTCCAAGGGATTTTGATGATGACTTTGATGATGCTACTATTGGTGATGATGACATTGAGGAGTTGGGTGACACTGTGGGTGATGATGAAGATGAGGGAGACAATGAGATCGACAATGTTGTTGATTGTGGCAATGATGATTTCGGCGATGAAGATGATGACTTGTTTTAGCCTCTTGTTTATTTATTCTTCTCTTATTTTAGTTTGTTTTGTTAAGGATATCAATGTTGTGCAAGTGTTAACTTGAAGACTTGAAGTTGAATTGCTATTTTCTTTTAGTATGTTCTTTTGTTAAGATTTGAGGAAAATGTTTGAATGACAAGTTGAATTGCCACCTTTTTTTATTATGTTTTCTTTGTTTAAAAAAATGTGTAAAATGTATATTTGAATTGATTATTGTTAGTGCACAAGTGAGAATGCGAGGATTTGAACCTCGATCTGCTCATAAGTATGAGAGCTCTACCATTTGAGCTACATTCTCAAGTTTTTTTGGGTCATTTTATATGTATTTTGATAGTATTAGTTAGACATATAAGAATAATTGCATTTTTTCATCGTTTTAGTAGGATCTTACGATCCCCGATCCGATCCTACGATCCGATCCTCCAGACCCCCAAAACGATCCTATGTAGGATCCCGATCTTAACAACCTTCATTCTTCTCTTTTTCCTTATAGAACCTCACATTCTCCAGGAGCGGAACACCTCCTTCTGGTATTTCAGCCACCATTATTTGAACTTCTTCACCAATACAGTCATTCGCCATCTTGACCTGTTGAAGGCACATGAACAATATTAGCAGAGAGTCACCTAAACTAAATAAGCATATCAGCACCCGCAAAAAAAAACCCCGCATAAAACCTATGAAGAAAATAGAAATAGACAAACCTCAATACCAAGAAGTTCAGACAGCCTTGGCACAAGAGGCTTCAAACTGTACTTAGGTGTGGCACCCTTTGGGCATCCCTACAACCCAAAATTCAAAAAGTAGACAAAATATTTGAATTAGTTGTTTTTATTTTATTTTTATTTTTTAAAAAGGAATTCCATCAGTTGCATTTTGTACAAATCTATGCTACAAGAGCATAGTGATATATAGAAAAGTAATATAAACTAAACTCAAAGACTACTGCCACCTATTGCATGAAAAAAAAAAAAAGATAAAAGAAAAAAAGAACCATAAGCAGACCAGTATACACACTACTGAACCTTTTCAATCCTCCTATCCAATTACCAAGCAACCAACATAACACAAACAAAGAAAAAGAAATATCAAAACAAAACAATTGTTTTAGTTATTTCTTAACATCAAATATACAGAAGCTTTCAAAGAAAACCCATGGAATATAGACTTGCAAAACAAAAAAACAAAAAAAAAAAACTATTAATCACATCCCAGAGCAACAAAAATAAACTCATAGCATATTAATCATCATTATGAGAAATCAAACAAACAAAATGGTCCACAGTAACCCCAAAACAGGGAAGATATGACAATACTCCAAGAATCAATACTCCCCATTCTTAAAAAAATACATCTCCCAATAAATAAATTTAGATGCATTGGAACAATCATGTGTCATATGTCAGTCCATCTTCCACTAATAAGTACTGTATACTTTCCACCAAAAAATAAATAAATAAAAGAGAGAGAGAGAGAGAGAGAAAGAGAAAGAGAAAGAGAGAGAGAATGAGTTAACTGAAGGCAATGAATATATTTCTGCCAAATGTGGTCACAGATTATTCTAAAGTAAGCCGATACAATAACTAAAGGATCTCAAAGATGGAGCCTTCATCAGAAAACAAAAAAGCCCAGTCAGCAAAATATGGAGAAAAAGTGATAGAAATGATGAACAACCATGTCAAAACAGATTAATGCCATAAATAAATATGAACCCAAGATCTATAAACCAAATTATTTGGGGATAGATTTGGAATAAGAGTCCGTTTAAGTGAGAAAAGAAAAAGAAATACTCATCTTTTCTCACTATATATATAAGTGATATTTCATTTTCGTCCTTTTGATTGACAAACTCAGTATGTTAAAAATACACCATCAATCAGTTTCATTTCACACCAAATCTCATCTTTTTTTTTTTGTGAGAAATGAAACTTGTATAATAATAAGAGAAATATCTGTGTCTCCATATCTCATCATTTCTTACCATTTCTCCACCAAATCGGTCAATCAAAACAGGGTGTAAGTTTGGAAAATGAACAGAAGAAGAAGAAGGCGATGTATTCCATTGACATTGAGAATGATCATGAAAAAGGCAAACAACGGAAACCCAAAACGAAGATGAGAAGAAAATAAAAAATTGAAATACTACCAGATGAGAAGCAAGGATGACTTTGGCACCATGACCCATCAAATACTTGATGGTAGGGACAGCAGCTCGGACTCTGGTATCATCGATGATGTTGAGATTGTCATCCAAAGGAACGTTTAGATCAACCCTCACAAACACCTTCTTTCCCTTCAAATCTGTTTCTTTCAGTGTACCCACACGCTTCTTCGTCGCCATTTCGCTTCCTTCCTATTAAACAAACACACGATATATAATAATAATCAACAGATCAATTCCAATCACAGATCATACTGATGATCTTCCACATAACCACATGGGATGTATTTGAGGATTTGAACTTACTAATAAGATTGAAGAGAGATAAAAAGGGATTAGGGCTTTGAGATTGCTTTGCTTTGAATACGATTGATGAAGCAGTCTAGTCTAGCAGACACACGCAGACACAAAGCAGTCTAGTCTAGCAGGCTTGGTAATGAAATTGTATAATGTATTTTGTTTTTGTAATATGAGGATTATATTTCTGTAACTTTATTTTTTATATTTAGTACATGAAATCTAATCTCAATTTTATTTTTGCAGGAGACAAATGCATGCAGCAAGCTGGACATATGGCTTTTGTTTATTGCACAACACTTTTTGTTATTAGTATTGTTCATGTGGATGAATGTAATTAACACTAAACAATAGCAGACTTTGGTCACTTTCTTTTTAACATTTTGTTTTGTTGCTACCAAGTGGTATTGTGGTTGTTGGCTATTATTTTTGAATTTTTGTGATAGGTTGCATTGTTCAATGCATCATGCCTTAGCCAACAGCTTAGTCTTTGCCACTTAGCAATTGCTAGAGTACAGTTACAGCCTCACAGGTACAGCTACATCTTCAGAGTACCACGACACTTTTGGATTATAGCAAGTTAGCAATCGCTTTAGTTTTTTGGATTTTGGATATTTGGATTTTGAATTCTGGAATCTGGATGATATTTATCCCTTAACAAATGGTGGATACTAACTTTTGGTAGCAAGATAATTGGCCTTTTAATGTTGTTTATGTTATTTTTGAATTTTGGATATTAAACAATATTATGTGGGAAGATATTTAGCCTAATGATATTTTTTTACTTTCATATTGAAAAATGAATTAGCTTTTGGTGGTCATGTTTACTTGTTTACAGATACTGAAATTGGCCTAAAATAGGCCAAGGGAAAAGTTAGATTTGATATTCACTGTTAACAATTACCATGGGGGAAAAAATGAAGTTGGCTCAAAATAGGCCAATTTACTTCAAAATGGGCTCACTTTTTGTAATAAACAAGGACAAAAAATGTACAAGCCTAAATCTCAGAAGTCTGAAAATTAAATTTTCCCAACCCGCGAACCCACCCGGACCTGCCCCCCAACCTGTTTGTCATGAGTGGTCGATTTCAAAAATATGAACGGTTGAGATTGGTTTATAAAACTCTAACCCCAATCGCGTTCGGTTAGGTTCCGGGTAAGGGTCAAAATTGACCCGACCCGACCCGTGCACAGGCCTAACTCATGGCATTGATTACATATAAATAGTATGTGAATTAAAGGGGTGAAGAAAATGCCTTGTTAATTGTTGGTGCAAATTTGATAAATGAGATGGAAAGAGATAAAACAAAAAATAATTAGTATTGTTTTACAACGTCGCTTTCCTTAAGATGATATTCGGCCCCACCAATGTTGTCGAATATCATGTGCACCGGGTTACCTACAAATCTGCCTCCGGGATACAATGAAACCCAGTCTAATGTCTGACTGCGTTATGCACGAACAAAATCAGATCTCGAATGCCTTTGGATTTTTCTAATCCACCAAGTAAAGAACAAAATAACAATATGAATCATTAAGAGAAATTTCATGGATTTCATATGGATTTCTTCTTTTCCAATTGCCAACCCATTCCGCCTTTTTATAGGTATGGATTTGTTCCCTTAGACCAAAGGCCGTGTCTTTTAGATTCAAAAGTGACATCCTTTAAATCCAAGAGTCATGCCTTCTTGTTTAAACTCAATGGTTACACTCTTTGATTTAAACCCAAAAGTCACATCTCTTTAATAATTTATATAACTATATTATATATTTTAATATATATAAATATATTATGAAAATGGTCCAACAATCCCCCACCATTTTCAAAATATATGAAAATAACAACTTGGATAGATTAGGAAAATTTATGCATAAATAAATATATCTTTCAATTTGAATCTTTCACTTAATGAAAACACATCAAAGTTAATCAAGATGACCTAATAGACTCGTCTTTCAACTAGCGAACTTATACAATTAACCAGACACGTCTCACACAAAAATTTTCTTCTCCTTAGATAATTCAAAAAGTCGACACGGGGATTAGCCTTGTGTCTATATCTTGTTTCATGAGCGCTCTACAGTCAAGCCCTTGGACTCATAGGAAGCGGCACCACCCCTACACCCATATAGGTAAATTTACTGAGAGTGCCCCTGTAACTAGAATACCCTAACTCACCACTGTAAACTCATTAAGAGCTAAGCAGCTCAACCTCCTCTTTTGTATTATAGGTCCCAAGCACCTTGCCTTGGGATCGTTATAAAAATAAAAATTTAAGTGCTTGCAATCACAACATATGGTGTACTTGGACTCATTGAACTCAAGGACTTGCCGTGTCTTTAAGCGTTGAGTCAAGTTTCCACCAGGAGTGATATGTTACTTGAGCTTAAGACCCATCCCCTTTGATGATCTCACATCAAATCCCTTGCAAGTATTTCTTAGATAATTTATCGTCATGTGGACACAAATTTTCAATAACTATGTATTACACTAGTTTATAACATGAACAACATGTCTGGACTAACAATCACTGTCATAACTATCAACTAATATTGATGATGAGTTTTATCTTGAAAAATTCGAGAAAAAACCGTGACAAAAATACCATGTCACTCCATCTCTTTTGTTACAAAAGGCTTAACAAATTATAAAAATCATGTCTTTAATTCTAAGAGATAAACCCCTCACCAAGAGTAATCTTTATTTACTTAAATAATCAAATACTTTAGATATGAAGAACCAACACTTTCTTATATCTTAAGTTTCATGATTTATGCTTGTATTTGCTTTGAGTCATAAATTGACCAACCAATATGAAATTTCCATTCAAACACAAGTTACATAAACTAGAAATTCTAATTTAATTACACTTAGAAAATTCACCAAGTATACAATATATACTCTATAATTTCTCAAGTTTCAAGAGTTCACAAACCAAAAATCATACCTAATTTTTATAAAATCATAACTTGATTTAAAAATACATTCTTAAAACTTTCACAAAATATATACTAATAATTGTGGGCTATTCCTTGAATCCAGCAATAGGATTTAAAGTTCAGTTTTTGAGTCTCAACCTAAATCCATTAAATGGATTTATTAGATTCAAAATACTATCAGTACACCATATTATTATAAAATGTAATGGCCCAACAACTCAAATAAGTAAATATAGATGTTGGGTTTAAAACCACTAGGCTTATCAAAAGACATAAAACAACGGGTGATTCTATTTGCACCCAACTAATAACTCAGTACGCCCAATTAAAATTTTAAAATTTTAATTCCTATTATACCCTAATGCAATTTTATTAATAAGGACAATACACATTAAATCTTAAAATAAAATATTATTTTTTTCTCATGGTACACCAAATCACTTATACGTATTCCTCATATTCAACTCTTTTCATCTTCTTCACCAAGTGACCCTAATAAAAATTTGGGCCTTTCATATCAGTTTAATACAAACATACTAAAAGCCCATTAAGAGACCAGATTATTAGACCCAAGTATCATAAATAGAAAACAGAAAAAAATTCACACACAAAGACAACATTTCAAAGTTGTCTTCTCCAACAACGGAACCGTTTGGCTGACAAAAAACATTGCAAACCAAACCCACCAACTTTACACATATATGGAGTAAAACTTCCTTTGGTGTTTAAGTTATTTTTCAGCACTTTAAAATTACCATCAAAATGAGAACAAAAACTATTGCAGTAAATTAGCCCAAACCCATCATCAAGTAATGCAACAACATGTTCTATATTTCCAATAAACAACAGTTCAATTCCGAAAACAGAACTTTGAAGGAAAACAAAACTTTACATAAGTAAAGTAATCAGGAAATTAACTGATTACAATGCAAAGTACAAAGACTCAATAAAGATAACAACATGCATCATGTTAAATAAGCATAACCATGCTAATAAAACATACAAATAAGAAACAATGATAAAAATTAAATATAATCACATATACATCAAAGGGCGACTAGACCATCAACTATAGATTTAAATAAGAGCATGTAGATTGCTTATATATATGTATACACCTCTAACTCCTCTGCAAGCTCAGCGGAATCGAACACGGCTATAGGTCTACTGTCCAATCTCATACAACCATCAGCAATACCAGAAGCAGCAACAATCTACAAAACATATTAAACACTGTTTTAAACTCCCCCTTGTAGCGGCAGCAAGAATTATAGAATAAAGAGTTCGGTTGAACAAGAAAAACCAAAACCATGCAAATCAGATTAGAAAGGGCAGAACCTTCACGGCTTTTTCCTTCCCCTTTACTTCAATCATGAGGCACTCCTTTGAGACCTTTTGATCACCTCGGATAGCTTCTATCCCCATACTGGGGTGAAACTTGACTACCTAGTAGTAAGTTGAGGATACTGTCTTCATATCATGAAGCCAGCTTGTACCAACGATAGCATTGTATGAAGAATATACATCTACCACCAAAAACTTTGTCTGTACTGTTACTTGCTCTACACAAATTCGAAGCGACACCTGCCCCTTGGATGCCACTACCCTCCCGTTGAATCCATACATCCATGTACTGGTTGGCTGGAGGTTCTCCGGCTTCAGCCTGAGCTCCTCGAACAACTTTTTGTACATTACATTAACTGAGCTTCCCGGATCCACAAGGATCTTGTCCACTTGGTGATCACCCACGTTTAAGGAGATCACCAGAAATCGTTGTGAGGACGATCTACCACCTCCAAATCATCATCAGAGAAGTTTATCGAGGACCCAGAAAAACTTCCCTCACCTCTTTGTCTCTTCCCCCGAATACAGTTCACATACTGCCTGTGCGAGGCAATCAGCACTGACATACTCATATCCTTCTTTTTATGATCCACCATTGCATAGATCACATTGACAACTTTGGGGGCAATTGCAATACCTCCACCAAGGAAGAGCATATTATCAACCGTCCCGCAAATGAACTCCTTGGATAAGAAATAGTGCTGAATAAGTATTTACTAAATTTTGGTCAGAGTATTGACAATGCATCATGCCAACGTAAATTCATATCTATCTTTAACAATCAATCAAATAATCAAAGACTCAATAAAGACTCAATGCAAAGTACAAAGACTCAATAAAGATGACAACATGCACCGTGTTAAATAAGCATAACCATGCTAATTAAACATATAAATAAGAAACAATGATAAAAATTAAATATAATCACATATACATCAAAGGGTGGCTAGACCATCAACTATAGATTTAAATAAGAGCATGTAGATTGCTTATATATATGTATACTCTGCCTCATCTGCAAGCTCAGCGGAATCGAACACGGCTATAGGTCCACTGTCCGATCTCATACAACCATCAGCGATACCAGAAGCAGCAACAATCTACAAAACATATTAAATACTGTTTTAAACTCCCCCTTGTAGCAGCAGCAAGAATTATCAAATAAAGAGTTCGGTTGAACAAGAAAAACCAAAACCATGCAAATCACATTAGAAAGGGCAGAACCTTCACGGCATTTTCCTTCCCCTTTACTTCAATCATGAGGCACTCCTTTGAGACCTTTTGATCACCTCGGATAGCTTTTATCCCAATACTGGGGTGAAACTTGACTACCTGGTAGTAAGTTGAGGGTACTGCCTTCATATCATGAAGCCAGCTTGTACCGACAATAGCATTGTATGAAGAATATACATCTACCACCAGAAACTCTGTCCGTACTGTTACTTGCTCTACACAAATTCGAAGCGACACTTGCCCCTTGAGCGCCACTACCATCCCGTCGAATCCACACATCCGTGTACTGGTTGGCTGGAGGTCCTCCGGCTTCACCCTGAGCTCCTCAAACAATTTTTTGTACATTACATTAACCGAGCTGCCCGGATCCATAAGGACCTTGTCCACCTGGTGATCACCCACGTTTAAGGAGATCGCCAGAAAATCGTTGTGAGGAAGATCTACCCCCTCCAAATCAGCATCAGAGAAGGATATCACGGACTCAGAAGAACTTCCCTCACTTTTGGTCTCTTCCCCCGAATACAGTTCACATGCTGCCTGTGTGAGGCAATCAGCGCCGACATACTCATATCCTTCTTTTTCTGATCCACCATTGCATGGATCACATTGACAACTTTAGGGGCAATTGCAATACCTCCACCAAGGAAGAGCATATCATCAACCGTCCCGCAAATGAACTCCTTGGATAAGAAATAGTGCTGAATAAGTATTTACTAAATTTTGGTCAGAGTATTGACAATGCATCTTGCCAACGTAAATTCAGATCTATCTTTGACAATCAATCAAAAACTCAAAACCTTCAATAAAAGTGATTATGGGTAAAGTTTGCCAAAATAGTGCAGAATATATATTTGCTAAATTTTTAAGGGCACAAATGTATTTTACATGGTAAAATTTTGTTGCTTGTAAAATAAAGTAGCCCAAATGAGTATGAAACTACAAACTGTAAGGAATCCAGCATCACAAATCTTCTCACCCACAACATCATCATCAATTCTGCACTCCACCCACTCAACCTCTTGAAGCTCATGGCAAGGCACAAAATTACTTTTCTGGAGAAGCACATGAACATGTTTAACCATCGGGAGAGAGGTACACGAACAGGATTAACCTTCTGGAGAGGCACACAAACAAGATTAGCAGAGAGTCACCTAAATAAGCATACCAAAACCCACTACAATGTTGTTAGTATGTTACTATTCATTATACTTTATCTTCCGATTCGATACTTTTTTTAGAGATAAATTGATATTATCATCAATACGTATCTTAAATTAAATTCATATTACGATACATATATGATACATGATGCAATATATACGACATGTGATATATATGTTCCATAAATACTTAGTGTCGGTTTGGTTTGATTTTTCAAAATTTGTTTTTAGCTGTGTTTTCGTGTATTTGGTATGTCCGTGGACAGCATAAAGTGATTTTGCGTAAAGTTTCCCAGAATAGTGCTGAATATGTATTTACTAAATTTTTATGGGCATCAACGTATTTTACATGGTAAAGCCCAAATGAGAATGAAACTACAAACCTTCTGTGTAGGGCTGTGTGGGGAATCCAGCATAAAAAATGAGTATGAATATACTCAAGCAAATTTGGTTTCAGATTATTTGTAGTAAGCTAGTACATTAAGGCTGTGTTTGGTTAGGAGATTTGGTAAGCGATTTGAAAAGGAAAAGGGAAAATTCACCAAGTTTCACACGTCTTTTCCATTTCTAAATCCTTCCCTAAATCTCCCAACCAAACACGACATAACTAAATGATCTCAAAGATTGAGTCTTTATCATAAAACAAAACAAAAGGAAGCGCAATTAGCATAATATGGAGCTATCTCCATAAAGAAACGACGAACAACCATGTCTAAATTACCCTAAACCCTAAATAAATTTGAACATAATATCTATAATCCAATCAAAATTACAATAAACCAATCAAAATTACATGGGACATTCATATCTATTTCAGTATCATCAAATTAAAAAAAAATTAAAAAAAAGAGTTATTTTGGGGAGAAAATTACAATTGAAACCCAAAAACAAGAAGAAGAAAAAAAAAAGTACTTGGCTAGAGAAGAGAAAAGAAAAGAAAAGACCATAAATTTGAGGATGTTGATACCAGATAATGACTAAGAAACACTGGAAAAGCATGCTTGCAAATTAACGTCGCGCGACGCCCCTTTCCCTTCACATATGTTTCCTTTGGGTCACCTCCGCTCGTCTTTACCGCCATATTACACCTTCTCTCCCTTCAAATATAGTGAAAAATAATCAACAGATCTAATCCATTCATCAAACTTGCATCAAATCAAGTTTTCACCACATATTTCATCAAATGAGAGATGAATCAAATCTTTCATCAAATTTTGAACAACCCTATTTTAACTTAAAATTTGATGAGATTGTTAAATGCCAAAGGAATGGAGATTAGTTTTTTTCACCTTCATTGGTTAAAATGATGTTTTTTGGGGGGATAAATTAGGTATTTTTAAAAAGAATTGATGAAAATTTTGATTCTATATCAAATCAAAGCTTTGATTTAAATTATTGAATAAATTTGATGAAAAACGAAGGGTAAAAGGCTGCAAAAGCTCAAATGGCTTTCTATATACGAACATTTATGTATACAGAGTGAGATCGATGGTGAATCTGATTTGAACTTACCACGTTCAAAGATACACAATGCGATAAGGGATTTGATATTCTTGGGTGCCATGATGAGGCGCAACGTAATATATAGCTAGCGAGGGGGATGATGTTCTACCACTTGCTACAGCGAAGATGATGACAGGCTTCTTTTTTGTCTGTTTCTTTGTTTCAAAACATGAATTTTTACTATTGTTTACTTACATTTGTTTTTATAAACAAAAAAAAAAGTTCTAAAATAAATTTTGGAAACGTAATTTTTACATTTGTTTTTACCGTGATTATTAAAAGACAATGTTAATTACCTAATATTTATATTATTTATAGAATAAAAGACTACATTAATTACCTAATATTTATTACCTAATATTTATATTATTTATAGAATGTTATTGACAATACTGCTAGCACTTATATAAAGGATTTCTTAAAAATTAAAATTAATAAAATCGTGCATAAGATCAACTACATCACAATTTATATGTCTGAATTAATGAATTAGCTATAATACTTACTCCACAATTTAAAAAACAAGTTTTAAATTAAAATATTAAAATGTATAAAAATATATATAAATTCTTTATTTAAATTTTGATGTCAAAAAAGTTAAGCCATTTATGTCTCTCATAAAAAAGAGAACACAAGTGATCAATTTAAATAATTTAATTAATTTTTTTTTCATATATTTTTTTTATTATAACATTCGACTCGTGCTTTGCACGGCCCTTTTTGGTAACTAGTATATCTATATTAGGCTCACCCGCTAATCTTGAATGCCACATCACCCAAATAATTAAGAGAAAGACTCTGGTGCACACTTTTTATGTATCTTATAACTAAAAAGAAAATGATATAATTTTAACTTTTTAAATCATAATTAAACACAATATGAGACATAATTAAAAAATTCATACGTCGTAATTAAAATAAGGGTAAATGACACTGGCACCCCCTGAGGTTTATGTTTATTACAATTTTCCTTCACATATGGGAAATTACACTGACCCCCTTTGTCAGTGTAATTATTTGATGGTGTTAACTTTTAAGTTAAAATAACATATTTACCCTTAACCTTTACATATACTTTAAAAGGTAAATTACATTGACACCCCCTGAGGTTTCAATTTAATACAGATCTCCCCCTGACATTTAAAAAAAAAAAAAAAACTAGTTTAATAAAAATAAATATGAAAAAATATATTTAATTTGTAAAAAAATTATTTCTAATCACTCGAAAGATAAAAACTATATAAAAATGATAATTATTTTTTATTTTTTATTTCTTAACCAAATTAATCATTAATTTTTAAAAAAAAATCTAAAATCAAACCATACATAGCCTAAGAATCTTTTGATAAGTCATTTCATACGTCGGTAACTTATTTAATTATTTGTTAATTTTACAACATTTTTACCATCTGAGCTTATTTGGTAACCATTTCGTTTTCAGCTTTCAATTTATATTTACAAAAATTTAAAAAACTATCATAAAAACCTGTTTGATAATTTTTTTGATTTATAAATGATTGTCTCAGTTTGTAAATTTGAGAAAAAAAACGTAAATTCAAAAAATGAGTTACGTTGGCTTTTAAACAGAAATTTAAAATTTTAACTAACAAATTTTTTTTCAATTAATTTTTTTTTTTCAAATAATTTTTTTTTCAATGAATTGTTTTTTCAACTAATACTAACGGAGGGGGCAATTGGTAATGCTACTTTAAACCTTGGAGAGGGGATTATAATTTCTAAATTGTGAGGGCTGTCAATGTAATTTACCAAGTGAGGGCAAATTGGTATTTAAAAAAAATTAAATAACTGACATCGGCAAAATCTGTTAGTTGACTGAACAGTCAACTAACTGAGTGAGCAATCTGTAATAAAACTTTAAACCTCAGGCAAGGGATGTAATTTCCAAAATGTGAGGAAAAAACTGTAATAAACATAAACCTTAGGAGTGTGTCAATATAATTTACCCTTAAAATAATGCCATAACTAAAGAAGAAAATTAGTCATGATTAAATAATAAAATGACAAAATGACAAAATTAGTAGTGAATAAAATACACCATTTTTAAAGGGGTGTACATTAGAATTTCTCAATAATTAAAACAGCAAATTACATTGACGCCGTTAGAATAAAAGAAAAGTTAGTAAAGTATCCCTCTCCAACTTTGGGTAGTACGAGAGATCTAATATATTTTTTTTATTAGTTAAGGGCCCTCGATGAAATTTTTCAACGCTAATACCAAATAAATTTTGAAATTCCTCTGTTTTCATAGGTTTATAGTTAAGGTCCCTCCATTTTTATAGGCTTATAAAAAATATATATATAACTTTTATAAATATTCATAAAATTTATTACTTATTTGTAATTATTTTTTAAAAAATTATTGGAATTTTATCTTAAAAAATATTCGGTGAATTTAATGTATGTAGATTCTTTATCATATTTTATTTTCAAATCATTTCATCTTCAAAATTCTTTGAACACGAGCAACTGAAGTCCGAACATGAAGAGAACCTGCCAGAAAAAGATTAACAATCTCAACAAAATAGTAGAACCCACATCCGTAAATTCAACTATCCATTTACTTTGCCACTTGGGAAGATTACAAGATGCTCTAAAACTCATCTTCTCTAACCCAACCCACTCGGATTATTCTCTGTATTCAAAAATTTTGCAGCTTTGCATCCACAGAAAGGCAAAAATGGAAGGCCGTTTGATTCATGGTCATCTTTTAGCCAATGGGCTTCATTCAAATGCATATTTAAACACAAATTTAGTTATATTCTATTCGAAGCTCGGTGACATGGTTAACTCCCGTAAAGTGTTCGATAGAATGTCTGAGAGGAGTTTGGTCACTTGGACAGCGTTGGTATCTGGGTATTCTCAAAATGGGTACTCAGAGGAAGCTCTTGTGGTGTTTTCAGCAATGCATAGGATTGGTGTTAATGTTAAGGCTAATCAGTTCACTTATGGGAGCGCTTTGAGGGCATGTACGAGTATGATGTGTTTGGACAGAGGGAAGCAAATTCAAGGATGTATTCAAAAGAGTAGACTTGTTAAGAACTTGTTTGTGCAGAGTGCATTGGTTGATTTGCATTCCAAGTGCGGAAAAATGGAAGACGCGTGTTACATTTTTGAGTCAATGTCGGAGAGGGATGTGGTTTCTTGGAATACGATGATAGGTGGGTATGCTGTTCAGGGTTTTGCTGATGATGCCTTACGATTATTTCGTTCAATGCTTAGAGCAGGTATTGTCACATATGCTTGAAATTTTTAAATTTTAAATTATTATGCATGTATTGTTCTTGCATTGTCCAATATTGGTTTGATGCATAAATCATAGAAGAAAACAAAATCAAAATATGTAAAGTTATTCAGGTAGTTAGATGGTGTAATCCAACGCATTTCATATGGTTGAGTGTAATTTTGAACTCATAGATTTGTAGAAATTAAAATGGTATTTATGAATACATGCAAAATAGTTTTATGAAGTGAAATGTTAATAGGATTCGGTTAAGCCGAAAGGATATCTTCAAAGAAAAAATCCCTGAAAACACAAGTAAAAATTTGAGAGCAAAACTGGGATTCTCATAGTATAACTTGATGTTGAGGGGTCTCATAGGAATCCACTAAAATTCTTTCGAACACTATGATGCATGCTTTTCTCATCATCTCTTTTTCCACCTAGATTCCTAGAAGATTTGTTATCGGATCATTCTGTTTCATTTGCATTTTTTTGGGTTCCCCAAAATAAGTAAAGCACCTTCACATTTAGTTGATCATAAAGTGGGCAATCAATTTTGTAAGAGAGTGATAATAGATGCCAAGAAGCCTTTTCTCATTAAAAGCATAAACTTTTTAACATACTTGCAATGAATCTTGATACTGCTTATGCTGCATTTTCAATGTTTGAGTTGCTTGGCATGCTCAAGAGACAGAAGATGTAACCAGTCATTGTGTTTTTTCTTTGAAATGAACATTCATTTGTGTTTCAATGATAACCATAGTCAATCTTGTTTGATTAGATATTTATTACGTACGCTCAATTTAATGAACAACTATCCACTGGAAGTTATCAATCAATGGCATATATTACCAACAAGTGTAAGCACTGATATTTTAGCTAGTACTTCTGTTTCATGAATGTGGATATATTGTTTCCCTTTATGAATTTTTTCTTGCCCTTATTCCAACTCCAAATTTTAATAGGTATGATCCCTGATTCCTTTACCTTGGGTAGTATTATGAAAGCCTTTGTTGGAGGAAGCAGTCTGATGAAGGTCTTCCAGATGCATGGATTCATCATTCAACTGGGTTGTGAATCGCATTATGTTTTGATTGGATCACTGATTGATGCATATGCAAAATGTGGGAGTGTTAGAATTGCAGATCGGATTTACAAGAGTATGCTAAAAAAAGATACAATAGCGTGCACCGCATTAATCACTGGATATGCACGTGAAGGTACCTACAGTAGAGATGCCTTTGATCTCTTCAATGGAATACATCAGATGCATATGGGAGTTGATAATGTTATATTATGCTCTATGCTCAATATATGTGCCAATACAGCTGCACTGGATTTGGGAAGACAAATTCATGCCTTGGTGCTGAAATGTCAATCCAAACATGATGTAGCCATGGGAAACACTCTCATTGATATGTACTCAAAATCTGGAGAAATTGAAGATGCTAAACAAGTTTTCAATGAGATGGAGCAGAAAAATGTTGTTTCATGGACGTCATTGATTGCCGGATATGGGAAGCATGGCTACGGGCATAAGGCGATTGCACTGTATAAGAAGATGGAATGTGAGGGGTTGAAACCAAATGACGTTACATTCCTGACTCTTCTCTTCGCTTGTAGCCATGCTGGCTTGACTACTGAAGCATCAGAATGCTTCAATAACATGGTTGGTAAATACAATATCTTGCCAAGGGCTGAGCACTATTCTTGTATGGTGGATGTCTTTGCACGTGGAGGGAAGTTAGAAGAAGCCTATATTCTAATACAAAAGATGAATATTAAGCCTAATGCCTCGCTTTGGGGTGCGATTCTTGGGGCATGCAACGTCTATGGTGATTTGTCTCTTGGAGAAGTAGCAGCCAGGCATTTGTTTAATATAGAACCTGAGAAGTCGGTCAACTATGTGGTTTTAGCAGGAACATATGCTGCAGTTGGCTTGTGGGACAGTGTTTGGAAGACAAGGAAATTAATGGAAGAGAGAAGTCTAATAAAGTATCCTGGATACAGCCTTCTTCGGTCCATTAAAAAGAGGGTGCCTCTTTTGCGGCCAAAGTTGGAATTGCTGCACTGAACTGCATACATGTCTTGTTCTTATTGGGTTAGATGCAAGTCTTGTGTTGATGCCACAAGGGAAATGCAGCAGATGGTTGTTTAATCATAATATATTAATGATCCAAGGACATCAAGAAGGTTTTTGATAGTACTACCCTGGTCAGATTCTCATGCAGTCATACTTCTTAGTTTCTATACATTCAGGTATCCATCCTTCTCCTGTAAACTTTTGCCCTCCTATATATATCTTCTTTTTATCTCTTCCAACCTTCCCCATTTCAGGTGGAAAATGTCAACAAATCATATACGTTGCTGCTTGATAGATGTTGTGTGTATTGGGTAAATTAAACTATTCACCCTCAGACTTTCACCCGAATTTTAATTTGCTCCCCCATCTTCTAATTGTAATAATTAGATCCTGAAACTTTAACTTGCGTTTCAATGTGGTCCTCCCATCTCTTTGGTTAAAAATTTGGACAGGAAGTGCTGACCTGAGGGCCACGTGAGCACATTTTAGGGACATTAGAAGAAAAAAAAAACTTATATGACAAATTACACTCTTCACACTCTAAATTTCTCTCAAATTTCACTTTAGTCTCTCATGTTTCAACTTTTACTAAAATTTCAAACGGTGGAGTGACAGGAGGATTACATTGAAACACGGGTTAAAGTCTGAATATTTAATTGTTACAATTAGAAGATGGGGGACCAAAGTAAAATTTGGGTGAAATTTTTTAGAATGAAAACTGTAATTTACCCTTGTGTATTTTTTAACATATTTTTCTGATAGTTAGTTTACATAAACTTCTCAATCAATCATACTTTTGTATTATATCGGAGGTCAGTGCCATAATTTTAATATGAATGAAATTTGTCCTCTACAATCTTCAGTTTGTCCCAATTTTGCCTCTCTTTTTTATTTTAGCGGTACATGTATATCCTCTTTTCAGATATCAAGAGGATGCTGTTCACTGCTAGTTATTTGATTTTTCTCCAGAATCAGAGCTGAGAGTTGAACACCAAGCAGCCTGCTGGTAGGAAGGAACAATGCATCGATGGTAGCTTACAATGCAAGTTTCTTCATAATATGTATGTTATATATTGTTAGCATTGACTTCATAAATTTGTATGTTTTAAATTCGCTAGATCAATGGAGCTGAAATTATCAAGTGGCAATTACAGACATTGCTTTGAAATTGGCTGCTGCGACTGTTGTTGATCGGTAAACTATAGTTGTGTATCTTACTTATGTCAGAGTTTGACTGAAATTTAACAACCGGATCTTCTCAATGTAGAATGGGGTGTGTAAACATTCTCACCTGCACGTACAATTGAGACACAAAAGTGTACCAACCAAGAGAGATTTTAGTGGTTGCGGAGAAGCTTTTGAGAGATGACGGATATGGAGGAGAGATTTAGTGGTTGCAGAGGAGCTTTTGAGAGTGATGGATACGGAGGAACAAAATTGTTGATAAAAAGGCATTAATGTGTAAAGAAGTGTTGGTGGACATTGGGCAGAAATGCTATTGTTAAATCATGCAAGTGTCCTTTAACTTCGCAGATGTCTCAAGTGAAACTTTGGTCGCACATAATGTATTAGAGTTCTGTACGATTAGCCTTTGCATTGCACCTATCTTCTTCTCCTACTATACTTTTTTTACATGTAATTCTCAGTCATTTTGCACGTGTGTGTACGGTGTAAAAAATTTGTAGCACCTAAGACTATCTTGTTTGGTTGTATATTTGCACATTTGTACACCTGATGATGAAGTTGCTATATTGCAAAAACATGTTACAGGGATTTGTTCTTGGATATGCTTTAAACCAAACATCCCTTCAAATTTTCTTTTATACATTTTGCATCACTAGGGGCATGCGTTGGTGATTTAGGAAATCAGAAATTATGTTAGCAAGCATTTTTAGAAGGAAATTATGTTACCCACATAATCTTTTGGAAATCAGAAATTATGTTAGCAAGCATTTTTAGAAGGAAATTATGTTACCCACATAATCTTATGGCTATGCTTATCGAGCTAATCTGATATTTTCGTAGATGATCTACACAAATAAAAAAAAGCTAACAAAATGAGCAATGCGATTATTCAGGTAGGCCCATGGTGGGTACACATGAGCAAATTGAACGCTTCAACCTTCTTGAAAATAATAATGTGTGGGACAATAATTAATATACCCAACAAATCTATACTATATATTAAGCAAAAGGGGATTTTTAATTCCAAGCCTTGTGGGAGCTCCAATCTCCCAATCTAAATTTCATGATTTTTTGATTTAAAAAAAAATCCTTAGCATTTATTAACTTCTCCTAACCCTCAAATCTTACCATTATGATAACACTTTAATGCATTAAGAACAAACATAAAAAAAAATTCTTTGAAATCCAACACATATGAATTCATTTAAAAGTTCCAACACATATGATTATTATTCCTCATAATAATACTTTAATGCATTAAGAACAAGCATAAAAAAAATTTATTGAAAAGTCCAACACATATAATTATCATCAAAATATTAAACTTTAATATAATATAATAATAAAAAAGACATTTAATTCCTTGAAAAGTCTAACACATATGATTATTATCAAAATATTAAACTTTAATATAATATAAAAAAGGAAAAAAAGAAGGCATTTAAAAAATTTTTAAAAAAAAGACATTTAAAAATCGCAATTCACATATGATATGCTAGTGATATATTAAGCAAAAGAGGGTTTTTAACCCCAAGCCTTGTGGGAGCTCCAATCTCCCAATCTAAATTTTCTGATTTTTTGATTTAAAAAAAAAAAAAACCTAGCATTTATTAAGTTCTCTCAACCCCCAAGTCTTACCCTCATAATAACACTTTAATGCATTAAGAACAAACATAAAAAAAATTCTTTGAAATCCAACACATATGAATTCCTTGAAAAGTCCCAACACATATGATTATTATTCCTCATAATAACACTTTAATGCATTAAGAACAAGCATAAAAAAATTTCTTGAAAAGTCCAACACATATGATTATTATCAAAAAAAACTTTAATTCCTTGAAAAGTCTAACACATATGATTATTATCAAAATATTAAACTTTAATATAATAATAAAAAGGAAAAAAGAAGGCATTTAAAAAATTTTAAAAAAAAAGACATTTAAAAATCGCAATTCACAATATGATTGCTAGTGATATATTAAGCAAAAGAGAGTTTTTAACCCCAAGCCTTGTGGGAGCTCCAATCTCTCAAT